TTTGCACAGTTTTTCCATGTCTGCGTGGGTTTTCTCCAGGGACTCTGTTTTCCTCTCATGCCCCAAAGAGGTGCATATGAGGTGAATGGCGTGTCTACATTGTCCCAGTCTGAGTAAGTGCAGGTGTGTGTGTGAGTGGTCCTTTGATGGAAGGGCGTTCTGTCCAGCATGGGTCCTCCCCTTGGTCCTGAGCCATCAGGAGAGGCTCTGGCCACCGCATTCCTCAACTGGAATAAGCAGGTTGGAAAATATAGTGACCTGACTTGTTTTCATTAATGTTCCTTAAATGTATGTGTAGCTCACATTTATTTCAATATTTAATATTAGAGGAGTTTTGGGTCTCTATTTAGAAGTTTGGTGATGTTTTTGTGACCAGAAATATGGCATAGGAACTTCATTTTTATTTATATCAGTTAGCCTAAGGTAAAATTGATTTCATCATACATTGTTTTCCTTAAAAGTTGAAGTTTCCAAGAACTTTTGGATGACGTTAAGTGAGGACTTTCTGTGTTTGAAATCTAGATGAAGCCTGAACGAACAGAAATGTCACCATTGGAAAAATAAGCAATAGAAAATTAGAATAGGTCAACAAATAAGGGAACTGAAATGCTAATAAAGGATTTTCCTTTACTCCATACATTTAAAAAACCTCTCTAGTTATAGAGGTTTTACTAGAAAGTTCTATCAATATTTCGAGGAACGCCCCGTGGTGCCCCCTTTCCTGGCCCCTGTAACACATTCTCACATTGTTTCAAGCATTTCCCCTTTCATACCCCTCAAGCACTCCATTTTTCAAATTTATTTGATGTTCTACTTCCTCGACCCAAGCTCTCATTTATTCAGGTAGCTGATTTCTACAGGGCTTTGTTGGAAGCTTTTCACTGAACTCAGCCATGGTCATGTATCAATGACTAGTAGACCTTTAACCAGTCTAGAGGTATTTGCGTTGCAAAAATATAGATGCTTATTAATTCAAATTAATCTTTGATTTGCTTTGAGGAAGCAGAGCCAAATCAAAAGGAAAGTTTCCCTTAAGGATAGGAAAATATTGGGTCAGAGTGGTTGCCTTATGAATAGGCAAGTCCTGCTTGGGAATCTTTCCTCTAATCAAGTTTCCTAAAAATATTGGAGACTGGTTTTCACAGTTGATTTCATTCCTTCACTCTGGATTCTATAGATCCTGT